TCTGCATTCAAAGTCAATAATAATAATTGGAAACTCCTTTATCTCGTAATAGAGTTCCTCCGCGCGATTCCCAAGAGTTTCATTGAAAGTCTTGCAGACGTTTAGCTCTGAGATTGTATTTCGTTAATGAGATTTAAATATAGCAACAAATGAGAGACACATTAAGCAAACTATTGATATGTTGTATAGGATATGCAAAGTTGACGTCTTCTGTAATTCAATCAACAATATTGAAACAGAATTGCTTTTTTGTCAAAACTAATGCCATCGATGGCTCGCAATCCAAATGTCTTTTGACGTTTTGTTTCTAATGAATAAGAAGTTTGTTTTATTATCAACACCTAATAAATTGCTAATTTGCATTTTTATTAAATAAACTCAATTAGATATTGTTGTATAAAGCACTAAATAAATCCACTTAATATACTTTATTTTGAAACATTCTGTTAATGTATAGTATAATATGAATAATTTGTATTTTATTAAGTTTTATTTTAAGCAGTGATAAATTTGCCAAATTTTTACTAAATTAAAAATAGATTAAAAATATAGCAGTCAAATTATTAAAACTAAAAATAAAATGTGTTATGTACTTAAAGAAATGTCATTTAAATTTCAAAGTCTTTGTTGGGAATAGATGTTTAAAAATGTAGACAATTATTAATTGTCAATTAACGAACTCTAAAACAAGAAACCTTTAATTAACTGCAATTTTATTATAAAAAGTAACGTTTGCCATAACTAGTAACCGGAGCTGACAGTCATCAGAATCGGGAAAATTGTTGTAATTTAGTAAACAACAAACATTTCACTATTTGGGAAAATAATTGCACAAATATTGCAGCAAAATAACCCGCTTATCATTACAATCAATTAAATGCATTAAATTATACTTTTGTTGGAAAACCATCGGTAATATAATTTTACAAACTTTTATAAAAGTTATACATTAATATATTAAATAATTGTTAATTCATATATTTCGAGAGTATTTAATTTAGTTTATTGAATATGATTATAACTTTTGCGAATAATTAGGCAATAATTAGTTTATTAATTGTCATGTATTTCGTGGTTTGCATTGAAATGAATATAAACTTGAAATAAATTTATTGATAAAAACAAGTTTCAATATAATATTACATTCAATGCCTTTGATTTGTTATAAAATATTCAATGCATTAATGGCACACCTTTTCTATGATTTAGTGATAATCTCATAATTTTATGTGTTTAGCCAAATAAATGTAATAAAGTAAATAAACTCGTTATAAATACATATAAATATGTGACATAAATAGACATATTTGAAGTACTCGTGTACTTCTTCTGCACTAAATATACAAATATCCACAAATATAAAAAATAATAAAACCTAAACTAATACTGTATTATAATGGAAACTTTTATTTTATAAGACCTTCTTGCTTTCATCTTATAATCAAATTTTGTGAATAAAACTTTTACCGCATTATAAAAATGATTTCAATTGACTTTCAATTTTATTGAAGCAAAACTATTATTGATTAAAAATGATTTAATAAATCCTTGAAATCTCTCATTATATTATATCATTTGTTATGACATTCAGCACAAGAATACTCACTTAAAATTCAAGTATACAATAATTAAAACAAATACTTTTATAAATTTGGGAGAAAACCGTTTTCTAAAGAGTAAATTTGATAATTAATTAAAATATAAGCATTTTTTTATTGTTTTGTTGTGAACCTGTCGTCTAAGATCTCAACCAATAATTAAACAAAAGTTTTGAGAAAATAAATCAAAAGAAAGTATTTTGAAAGGAAAACCTGTAACACAAGGTGTATATGCGGTACACATATGTGTTGTTTCGCAGAGAGAGTACAAGTGAGTCGTGATTCTAATTAAACCAAAAAATTGTTACGAAATGTTTGACGAATAGTATGGATACAAACGACACGACGATTGGAAAAACTGTTTTCCAACGTCTTTATGCGAATAGCAATAATAATACGGGATCTCAAGGTTTTCAACAATAAAACAGAGAAATTGAAACTTAAAAATGTTTTATCAAATATAAATATAAAACTGCACTTTAAAGTCACAACTTGTGCTCAGCTATTGTTTGTAAGCAGTTAATAGCCACTAAACGGCAATAATGTTTGAATACAAGTGTAAATCCTCTCAACAATAGTTGTTTGCTATAAATTATCAAATGTTTTGTAAATTAAAAGACAATCCAATGATTAACTAATAATAGTTTTTCATTGAAATGCTCAATGAATAAGCAATTGTTGTTTCTATGACTGCAAAGTGGACTCAAGAACTTATCAATTAATATCAATGTATTTGCTTTGTTTGAAAATAATCATATTGTATCTACTGATTGAAGATTGCTATTGTGACACATGGATTACGTTATGGAATAAATTAGACATTCCCATAGAGATTGTATGTAAACGTGAGGGTCATTTCAAACGGACCAGCTTTAAGACCAAGAAGATAAATGAAGACGAAAGATATGACATCAAAGCGTTAGTGTCTTAAATTCATTACACTTTCACATAAATTGAATTTTGTCGACTTATAAGTAAATTAAATTGTTATCCGTTTCTCCCATACATTACATCGATTCTCTTACAACGACCTAATTTCATACCATATGATCCCCAGCACTAGTTTACGTGTATTCATAAAACTTAAAAACAAATTTTGACCTTTTTTAATGTCTGATAACTTTCTCCAAACCTGATGTTTGCCTTCACTTTATATTGAATATTGATTTCTTGATAATTGAAAAGTTCTTTCAAATGTAAATAAGTCTTTATTCAATGTTTTCGCAAACATTATTTCTTTAGAAAACTTTTGTTTCAATTGTTTTTATGAAAAGTTGTTTGACATAACATTATATGAAATATAAACGTGACATTAAATCGATTTCTGGTAAAGTATAACGAAAACAGTAATAATAATCAAAATGTTATTTTTGTTACATTTATATAATAGTGTTGTGGTATTAGAGTAATGATTAATACATATTATTCATGTGAATTGTCAGTAAATACCCGAATGGATATTCCAAGCGTTATTACCGGCATTGGTGTGACTTAACCGCCGGCACGACTAATATTCAATTTGATATCTTTGGCGGAAGAGATAAACGAATTAATAAACTTTCGGATTCTTATTCTGATTGGATTATAACCAGAGGTGGTATTTATAGAGTGAAAAAGGGATCACTTATACTATACTATGGAAAGAATTGGTTGGGAGAGGATTATGAGGATCTGGAGGATGCAGTGATAGGCACTCCTGAAAAAACACTTAATCCGTCAGACACTCAGCGAATGTAAATATAATCTAATATTTTCTCATTTACTTCAAAGTCAATGCAATAATATGAATGTGACACTAATCTCACACTGCATTCCCAATCATTAACTTCACTATCGATATAGTTTATCATTTGCTTCTCATATTTCAGAGCCCCTCTCGAAGTACACTTGGCCTCATCCACACTAACACTCTCTCAACAGAGACTTGCCATCGATAAGGCCACATATGCTTCCCATAAATTCACTAAAACTAAAGCTATGGGCAAATATGTTGGCGACGCCATGAAGAAAAAGTTTGGTCACTTCTGGGCCGTCTTCATAGACCAGCCCGAGAACACCAAAGTTGTCAAAAGGACTTGTGATACCGATAGAGTGATGATCTTTCAAGTGAATGACATCGACTTCATTGTCTGTCAAGTTATGCGCTAAATATATGATTCACACATTTATTACTTCTTTCAATATTTAGTTTCGTTTTGAATTTAAGCCAATTTTCTGTAACAAACTCTTTACATGTGATATTATAACGAATTTAGAAGTTATTTAAAAATGTTAGTTTTATTTATAGTTTTATTACAAATGATAACCATTGTTGAGGCCATTATAAACGCAGAGCCCAACCCTTAAACACTTTTGCGTTAATAATTAAATATTTATAACTCATGAAAACAAATTTCTATTGTTAAGCTTCATTAATAATTAAAGTGATAAAATATCACTTTTAAAATAATATTTGCCAAACTATAGAAATATATTAATTAATTCCAGACCAGAGCTGACCGTTGGAGCAAATATTGTTTGTAAAATACTGTTTTCCCATTCAATACTGGTCCCGACCGGCAATACTGTTCCACACATTGTGTTATTAAACTACAATGTGTGTATTATTTTATTAAATAACATGTTTAAGTTATTTTAAGTATTTTAGCAATTTGTTTAATTAAATGCTCACATTTTTAAGTTTTGTCATGTTTATTTTATTTTGCGTATTGATTAAATTTTATAATTCTGTTAAATTTAATTATTTCAAAAAATATAACAAATTTTATGTTTAAATAAAAGTTGATTAAAATTGGAATTTTTACGACAAATATGTAGAATAAAATTAATGATTATAAATTTGTTTATGATCACTCTTTGAATACTTTATATATTTAAATGTCATTAAAGTTCATATTCCCATAATTATAGTAAATAAAGGTATAAAAAGGATATAAAAATCAATAAAATTGAATGATTCAAAAGTTAAATTTGTTTTTATACAAAAGCGTTAATTAACTAATGAACAAACGATTTACGATACAATAATTGAAACACGAATACTATTAATGCATATTTAAGTAATAAACGGGTTGTTTTGGAAGACTAGACGATCCATGTATTGATACATCAAATTTACAAATATTTGGTTTAATATTTACAAAAAGGGCTTAACTTTAATAAAATTTATAATTTACAAACAATATTTAACACAACCCTTGGAGAGTTTAACAATTGACAATAATTGTAATATAGTAAAATGTGAGTATATTTCGAGATATAAAATAGCATTTGTTTTTGGCTAAAATTTAAAAAATAAAAAACATCACTTTCATTGTGCATCACTGAGACAATCGTTTGTATGCATTACTATCACAGGAAAGTTAAATTCAAGTCCCGAAGACTTGTCGTCAATAAAAATGTTGACGAAATATTTGGCTTCAATGAGCGGGCATTTGGTGGATGGTCTGGCATTGGCAGGAATGGGCACTCGTATCACTCCTGTGCTCTGTTTTCCGGCCTCAATAAAGGGGACTTCTGTTGAGATGTGTTTCTCAGTACTGTCTTTCTGGTTATTGTGTGCTTTGAAAATATGCTTTTCTACAAGAGTTGCTCTCATTTTAATCGCAAAATTTCTTCCATTCGTGATGTCGTACGAGACGGCTATTGAATCGCCTTTTAGTCAAAATGAAAACAAAATTTAAATATAAATTAAATTTTTTTAATAAGGCTTTTCTCGAACCTCCGTTGAAAGAGTTTTCATTTATACTCATTTCCACATCAATTGATCCCCTTTTTATGAAACAACAGCAATAGTCTCGAAGCCTTCTGTAGACTATGGGTGCCTTCAAGTCAATAAAATTAAAACATAAAGTTTTGAAATATAAAATAACATTAAAAAGTTTTTAAAGGTTTTAATGTTTGATAAAAGCAAAAATAATTGTCTACATTATTGACGGCCTTGAGTGGAGAGCAGAGGTAGAACTTGGTCTGTGTTTCGTGATTCCAAGATAACAATGATTTCTCGATCTGTGCTTCAATCCAATAATGGATTTGTCCGAAATTGCCTTTGAAACTGTTGGGAACATCTCTGCAATTATGGCAATCATATATAGATATAAAAACCGCAAATATATTGCATTACATTCTCTATCCTTCAGAAATTGATACAAGAATGAGATGTCGTGTTAACGCATAGACAGTATATGTTTAATATAATCACTTACTCTGGGATGTGAAACACGAACGCAATTCTGTGGACACCTCTTTCCACTTTCGTTGCCTTCGCTGATAATTATAAGAAAGTCATAATAAAAGACATTTTCAATTATTTTTCCCACAAATCTATTTAAATCCAATCATTTTGTTCTTCTTTTATGGAAAAAAGCCTTTTTTCAAAACCCATTATTCATGAAAAGACATTGAAATAAAGATTATAATAAACTCCGAATTCTGTTTGACTATCAAATCATAAATCTATTTTGAGAGATTTAATAAATTAATGCTATTTTTAAAATTGACGTAAAAAATGTGGAAATCTTCTGATAAACGAATACTTTATACAATTTTTTGATAAAATTAAATAAGCCGTGAATTAATGTGATTTAATTGTTAATAATTTAGTTAATAAAGCTATCCTATGTTTTCATTACTGTTGTTATTAATGCAGAGAAAATAATTTCTGAAAAACTTTAAAAAACACTTAAAACAAAATCAGAATTTTTAATTAATAAGTTATTTAGAAATATATTTGAATACCAGTTTGTGTGACATCAAAGTCTTGTGTCAAGAAATTAAGGATTTGGTGATAAGTGATGATCCGGGACTGTCTGTCATTGGCACTGGTGACCCATTTTGTTTTACTCCATTTAACCTCCGCTTCTCCTCTCAGTCTGAGTTTTACGTGTTTTAAATCCAACTCTCCGTTGAAAGCAATCACACAAATGCCACCGATTTGTTCCCCATTGCGATAAACAAATTTATTTCCGTTCAACTCTATAACAAACTCTTGTAATTGAATTTTGCCCATTGTTTCAATTAAACGCAACAAATGCTTTCACAGCTCTTATCTCTCAAATGAAAGTTTTCGAAAACACAGAAAAAGTTTTCTCAAAATTCACTTTTAATGCCTTACGTAATGCATAGAAGAGAGGAGAGAGGGATAGAGACCTCGAAATAACATTACCCGATAGGTTGTGCCCAAAGAAACCTTGTTTTCACATTTGTTTTTGCTTTTTGTTTCACTAATAATTCATGGCTCAGAAGGAGTCTTATAAACGCGAGTCTATTATTAAAATAATTATTGAAAATGTAAATTAAACTCATAATTCGTAATTCAGTATATAATTGTCTTTACATTTTTGTCATTAACTCTTATTATATGCAATTTAAAGTGTTTTTAATTATTTATCAAGTTTTATATAAATATTTTCTTATCTTCACATTATATTAACGCACTTTAATTCTCCAAATTATATAAAATAGCTTTTAAATTATCGAATTTAATATTTGTGTTCAAAATATTTGTTACAAAAACATTTTAATTTTATATTTTCGAAATTCCTTTAAAAAATCATAAACGAAAAATTATTAAGGATTTGAGTTATTCTCAAATGTAGAAAAATATTAATTTTTTGCTCAAATTGTTATATAATGTGAAACGACTACACGTGTAGCGAAACGAAAGCTGAACTTGTTTATTTGCAAATTGTCGGCTGAATGTGGAATTACACAAATTCATTTCGAAAATACATTTATAAAATTTGGAAACATAATTATGAAACAAGTAATTTGCATAAACAATATATCATTTAATATCATTAAAACATAATTCAATTGAAAATATTACGAATCATTACCGGAGGTATTCATTGAATTGTATGCAACACTCGGTAGTTGTAAAGCGATCCCAAAGATGGGAACTGTATCTCAAGTTGTGTTCAAAGAAGTGTTGGCTACAAGTGATGTCGAGTTTAGCACTGATTTTACGCCACATTCTCTGGTGTTAGTAATGTTTGAAAGGTTTCTCAATAATTATCATTCTTTATCAACAATTTCTCAAAACATAATTACATTTAATTGAATAACTATTTAACGTTAGTTTTCAAAAATTTTATTAAAATATTTTAATAATTAATGTTTGATTATTTAAACTATTATAAGTTTAAATTTATAATTTATCTTAAATTTATTTATTTATTGATTAAAATCGTAATTTAGTTTATATAGAATATAAATTAGTTTGTAATTCATTTATAAATGTAAATTGTGCTCAAAAGTGCCAAATAGTTAGTAAACAATTGCTATTAGTTTTTACACTATATATAAAAGAATTTATATTTAATAACATTGTATTTCAAAATTATCGCAACATTTACGAGGAATGTGTGAATACTATATATAGTGAGACAGTTATGCAAATAACAGCGAAAATGTATTTATGATTTCAATCATTTCGATACAAATTTCCATTTTTCCTCCATTTCTCTCACTTTTAGTGAATACAAGATTAATTATTTGATTGAATAATTTGCATATATCTTAATAACACATTTTACATCTTAATAATATTTTTTCATTAAAATAAGGGTAAAAGCGTACGTCTGATATATAAAATTGTCAAGTAGGCTATGAGTGACACAAACGGGGTTAAAATTAATTATTCTGCAAATAATAATGTTTAATCAATGAAAAATTTAATTAATAAATCAAAAAGTATAATTTAATTAATTATAATATAGTTTTAAAAAATATTGCTTAAATAAACAGTTGGAATAATTTCATTTAAACATACGTTTGTAAGAAACATATGTTTCTTATGAGAAAATATACTAAACATTGGGTAAACAGTATGTATTGTGTGTTCTTTTAGTTTCTATTAAACATTGGATATTTAATAAACGAATAGAAGGTTAACAACCAATTATTACCATTTAATAATAGTTTGCAATTTTGCTTGAATTTATTTTCTTCCAACAAAGCTTGTGGTCATAATTTAGAAACAATTTCATGCAACTATTGTAGTGTTGCAACTTTGCAAACACAGTAATACTGCGTTCAAACGCACACGCGCTACTGAAATGTGATCATGGTGTTTAAGATCATCGTTAGACATGTTTGCAAAAATGCTAATTGAGAATTAAAATCAAACTGTTGTTTAAAATGCATATTTATTGGTGATCACAATCGGTAGGTTTAAATGCAGATCAATAGTGTAGGGAATGTCGAGAGTGACGTGAATGAAGTACTTCACTGTAATTATGGAGCTTTTCATTGAGAGCACAGAATTGTCGGGAATTCTCATCTCAAGTATTTCCTCCACTTTATGTCCGGCGCTTATATTGGAGCCCAATATGGGCTCCGAAAGCAGCGTTTCGATGGTTCTGTGCTTCTCTCCCGACATATAGATCTGCGTTTGATATAACGAAGCTCTCGGACTCACACTCACTGTCGACGAGTTATCGACACAACAATGAATTTCTATCGATTCACCTGAAAATAAAACCAATCAATGAAATAAAAACTCAAATATTTTCTCAACAAATTGTGTCTTTAAGGCTGTGTATTGTGTGTGCTTTTGAGGCCAAGGGTTTAGCTAACAATGCATGCGATTTGAGAGATACACGACTAATTCAGTGGAAATGTGGATAAAAATCAATAGTTTTGAATGTCTTTAAACATGTTTTCATGTAATATTATCAAAGAGATCCTCTTTTGTGAGTATTGCACACTATTTGGAGATTTGTTATTTATGTGACTCTAATCTCTTGTCGTTTTATTTACAGCAAAGCACTCGAGAGGTCTTATGCGAGAGTCGATGGAATACAAAAAGTGGTTTAAATTTATTAAACACTTCTCAGAGATTCAATAAGAGTTAACGAGAGAAAAGTTTGTTATGTAAGAAAAAGTTAATTAAATGTGAATTGAGTTATTGGAGAGACAGTAGTGTTGGGAGAGAGAGGACAACAGAGACACAAACCGGCCAAATATCCTTTTCTAGTTATTTTGGTCGAGAGATACACTTTTCCAGAGCCTAAGCACAGAATTCCCAAATCTTTTTCGGTGCTTCCGCTGACGGATAGCTAGAAAATAAATTTCAATTAATTGTCAATTAATTATTCATTTAATATTAAGTAACTATTGATCCAAATGTTATAAATATTTAATGAAAATATTTAAATTTCTATTTGCACTTCTATTCTGCACTAAAAGCGATGTACAATAAAACAAATTTGAATGATTTAATTAAAAATACATAAAATACAAATATATAATGTATTGCTGGCGATGAATAATAAGTATTTGTGTGGAAAACACTGGAGGTTTGCATACAAAGAGGTATTGCATAGGAAACATACTGTACGGCTCTCTCCTGTGGAAAGTATATCACAATTACAACTAAACTCTTGTTTGCGTGCAATCATACGGTTAGCGCTCAAAACCAAAGGAACTTTTGGTAAGAATTTTATACAATTGCAATCTTTTCCACACAAATTTCTCACTAATATTTACGTTCAGTTATGTATTTGTTTTGCTCCTATTATTAGACAATTATGGATTAACTCACGTATAGGTTGTCTTTGACGGGCGCTTCTACTGTGATCTCACAGCCAGAGCGATGTATTTTGTCGTTTTCGCCAATTATATACTCAATGAAATAACAAATACATCCGTATATACTCTCGAAAGACGTCGGAATTCCGCTTTTGTTTCAAATAAATTCATTGCATGTTAAATACAATTCCCGTTAATAATTGCTTTAATATTAATAATGCTTTCGTTGATTAAAAAATAAAAGTTAAATTTATTTCTATTTTAAAAGTATTAAACAAATTACAAATTTTAATTCTATGATACTTTCAATTGTCGAGAATTATCGATTTAAAACACTACTGTTTAGTAGTAATAATAAAGTTTTATTCTTTAATCTAATGGCAACTGTAATGACTTATTAGTATTCATAAAACAACGTTAATTTTGTACTAATTATGTTAATTAATTGCAATTGCATTTTGACAAACTCTCTCACAGACCAAGGTGCAATAACTTTTACAACAACTACTTTCAATGCATTGTTTAATGTTATGAACTTAAATTTTTTTTATTAATTACATAATGCTAATCGTAATTAATAGTGCTTTTATAACGTTTAATAATTAATATTCAATTATTTTAAGCTTTATTTATAATACAGATTATATTTAGTCATACAATAAGGCTATTATTGTTAAGCAATCGATCCGTTTATTACGTGATCTCAAATAAATATGATTTGTCACAGAATTTCTATTTAATGTCAAATATAATCCAATGATTACATTACAACAGATTTGTACTATTTTTTCAATTATCACTAATTGTTCTTTAATTATAAAAAATATTTCAATATATGTTTGCTATTCGTTCAAAATTTGCAGAAATATGAAAATCGATAAAAAAAAATCAAAGCAGAAATATGTTAATAGTGTTGGAAAGCGTTTATTCAAATGTCATATCATTTGAATGTGACATTTGGCACAACAACAATGCAGAGGTGTTTCCACAATATGTCTTTCAATGTCTATAAATGATTTAATTAATTAATTTTTGTATCAATAGCTATCAAACAATAACTTAATTAAGTTATTGAACACAAAGCAAATTTATATTCGCATAAAAGGCGAAAAATGCAATTGTTAGCAACAATTGAAGCGAAAATTCATAAAATACTCTTTTGTTATTGATTTACAACATTTCAAAACTAAAATCTCATAAACAAGGTTTGCGAGAAGATCATAATTAAAGGGGTTTTAATTAAAGTACAACATTTATATATTCTCCCAAAAGTTTATAATTAGTTATAGGAAATGAATTTGATCATGTTTTGGTTATAGAGTGAGATTTTATTTTTAAAAAAACACAATTTTATGTTAAATTGTGATTAAAAATTGTTAATATATTTCTGTTTAATAAATTAAAAATATGGAAATATTGATTTTTGAATTATGATGAAAGACGTTGCAAAAACAGTTGAAGATGATATATATTTTAGAATGAAAACATTCTTGCATCATGTGCTTTTGAATATGAAAATAATATAATCAATCGTATAATTAATTTTGTATTACTATTTATACAAAAAAACTTGTCAACTAAACAGTCGTAATGTATTCATACAAATATCGTATAAATAAATGTCAAATAAAACATAAAATATATTATAATTTTATTAGCAAAACAAATGTGAATTTATTTTTGTAATTAAATTTTCGAAATAAATATCAAATGAATTCAAAACTATTCCCATTTCAACATATATTTCATATAAAATTGCGAACAATTAGTGAATTCTTATTAATGAATGCAATTCTGGTGATTGAGTAGACGATAGAAAAACAACTCTAATCTTGGAAATAGTTTGAGATGTAAAAAAGTATTTGTGTTAACAAATAGAGAGTACTTTTAATGAAGCGATTGAATTGATATCAGAGAAGCAAATCTCAAATAATTAATTAGAGAACCAAAAGTTATAGTTATTTCAAAATTATAAAAGCTTTAATGAGACTCTACTTAAGCCCAGGACTAACATTGCAGTCGAGTATCAGATAAATAAAAACCCTAGAGATCTGCCTCTAATTTAAAACTGGGGTTTTCTTTTGCAAAACATCATATAATATCATAATCTGATTGTGCACTTCCCCCTCTCCCCCACATCTGGTCTCTTCTTTTAACAATTATTAATTAATTAATTAACATTTAATTAAATATTTATTTGACTATCAATTATATTCCCGTCTCTACTGTTGGCAAAAAGTGTTGACTACTCTTGTGATTAAAACACAAGTGAATAAATGAAATAAAGCCCTCTTTTTAATTATCTGAAGACAAAACTGCGCTTTTTGTAAAAGACTTGTTTCGCCGTGTTTTTGATGAGCAAAATGTTTTCATTTTGAGCATAAGAACACATTAGTAAAAGTGACCTTTTTAAGTTTACAATAGTTTCCAAAATACATTTAGTCTGCAATATTTAGTCTCAAAAATGTGCTCCAAATCTGTTTTTTGTAAAAAATATCTAAATTTAGTCTCCATTTGAAGCTTTAAACCCAAAAATGTTCACAAAACAAAGCGTGACCACAATAATAATAATATATCAAAAAACATGTTTTAAAACAAGTGTTTGGTTTGAAAACAAGTTTTTGGCATTTAATTAATTGATTAGAAATAAGAAAAGGAATTTTTCGGTGAATATATCACCAAATTTTGTGACAATAATTGATTGAAACAATTGATTTGATTTTTCATTCTTTGTTGAAACGTTAGAAATTATGATTATTTTTGAATCTATCGTTAAAATATTCATCACTCGATGGGAGAACCGAATGAATCAGGAGAGAGAGTGTGAGTGAGTGTGCATTCAGATTATGATATTATATGATGTTTTGCAAAAGAAAACCCCAGTTTTAAATTAAAGACAGATCTCTAGGGTTTTTATTTATCTGATACTCGAAGAGAGAGAGAGTGTGAGTGAGTGTGCATTCAGAGAGCGACAGCGAGAGAGAGAGAGAGAGAGAGAGAGAGAGAGAGAGAGAGAGAATGTGTGAGAGGAGATTAATGCATTTCAAATAGCGATTTGGCAATTATATGAAATGATTAAATTGGTTTAATTTTATATATTACTGATTTAATGTGTTATTAAATGTTTAAAAGTATAATATTTAATTATATTCTTAATTACAAAGATTGTATAATTAAAATTTCATGATTTTTGGCGATTCTGGCAATTACTTTGAAATGACAGATTTACCATCATTAAATCATTATGAATGCAATCATTTTGTTTGCTTTTGAATTGTGAGCGAATGTATAATTTTGAACACCATTATCGCGATTTCACTGTATTTTATGAGAACAACATTCAGTTGTGTTGCCGACAATACATCGGCCATTGATTTTCGTTTTTAGCGTCAATTTCTGTGTTTTAGTTCAATGTTTGGCATTTTCAACAAATAAATATCAATGAATAGAAATGAACAGAAATTGTATATTTTTATAATATTCTTCACATAATCTTATTATTGTTTGAATATTTTTTGCATTAATATATTATTTATACACAAAGTTTACAATATATAAATACAAACAATCTTTTATTTCTCGTTTGCGTTTTAAATAATTTAAATATTTTAATATATAATGAATTTTGATTTAAAAAACAAATATATTATTTTTTCGCATTAATCATTTGAACCAAATTTTAAATAAAAACATAATTAAATTGTTTTATAAAATGAATTCTTAAACACAAAAAGATGTTTAAAACTATTTCATGAATTTTTCAATTAAATGTTGTGAAACTGGAGTGAAATAAAGCTTTTCTTGAAATACTATTAATTCATAAATATATGACAAAAAGTGAATTCAAAATCATTTTGGGGTAAAAATGTGAAGAATGAGAAAATGTTTGATTATTTTGGGAGACATAATGTGATTCATGCTTTCCTTTGATATCAAAACCTCGCGTAAAATAATAAACAAAAATAAAGCCAAGAATAAGAACTGATATTATATATTGTATTCAGAGTAACACTTATGATAAAAGTGTTAATATAAATATTAACGCAAGACTTAATCAAATAATACACTATAGATGCCATACAACACTGAATTACAGCATTTTTAATGGAAAATAGTGTTGTCAACACTCTTTTACCGCACATTTGATTAATTATTATTCTCAAGCATTAGGGTTGCAATCATTTGAGAGAAAATACTTGTTTTATATAAACTTGAATATTTTTTAGACAATTAGTGAACGCTTTCATCAAAAATTGACGCAAAAATCACAGCAATTATTAAAATATCCAAACATTGTTTTTTCTCGTTTGAAATCAATAAACTTGTATAAAGTAACATAAATTAAAGTCGAATGCTATTATTTGTAGAATGGAGGAAAAATGTATTTATTTAACGATAATAAAGCAGACACAGTAACAAAGCTAATTTGTCAACCTTTTAGCCATTGATTGGAACAATAAGTGCTCAACAAAAACATGGAAAACACTTGATATTTGACTTTGTCGTGAAAAATGCATTATTAATGAAAAATTGAATACCTGTCCGGCAATTGAAATCTGAACGGTATTTCGTGAGCGCCTGGACGTAGAGTATTAGCCGCGACTGAAGAGAATGGATATCAATAAGTAATTATTGCATTAAATTAATGACAAACACAAGAGTAGAAAAGTGTGTATTTTTACATGCTTTGCAATAAAACATGAAATTAAGATTATTAACCATTAAATCAATTAATGGAATAAAAGCCTGAAATTAATGACATTTTCTCTTTATTGATTGATATAAAACAATGAGACTTTATTTTAAATGCACAAAAATCAAAACTTAGAGTTCAATAGAAAGTGACTTAAAAGTAAATGTTGTGTCAAAACAATCGTTAATTACATGCAAAATGAATTCAAGGTAAAATACTTTTAGCCGGCAGTTCGTAAGTGTGATCGAGAAACACACGCTTGTAGGGGCTCTTATCCATACAAACCCGGCCCTCCTTCTGGTACATGGAGTTGTCGACCGGTTTAATAGTGGCCACACATGTCAACCCAATCTTGACGGCCGAGAGCGAGAGGTGTCCGTTCAGAGCGATGGCCAGCTTTCCGTGGATGTAATCTCCGACTTGGTATCTGGTTTTGTTGGCCTCCAACACGATCTGTGCGTTCGTCAGATGCATATCACTCGACATGATAACCAACAATTATAATTGAAATGCAATGTAAGACATGTGCGGATTTGTTGACCAAAACACAGCTAAACACTCATTTCACTACAATTGGAATAAGTAATGAACTTTCGGTTCAACTGAAGCAACGCTTAGACTTGTATTGCGTTCTCTCTTCCATTGGATGAGAGATATCTATGGAGACCAGACTTTCGCTGAATTAAGTCATCGATCGATATTTAATACTCCAAACCATAGCATAGCAGCGAAAGTATATGATATATATTTTAAATAGTGTATAAATGTTTTCTATTAATCATAATAAAAACGTGAACCTCTTTCGCAGCGAAAATGCATTTCCAAAAAGAGTATTTAAATTATAGAAATATAAAATATGTAATAAATGTATCAAAAGTATAAATAAAAAATAAATTGCTTCTCAACTCAAACAGAATTATAAAGTGATATAAAAGAGGAAATTTGTGCGACTTTTGTGACATTTATTCCGATTTATTGAGAGTTTAAGTTATAAAAAAGATAATAAGTTTTCTTCAAGAAATGAACTTTAATTTCGATCGAAATGTTGTTCAAACGGTCATTCAATAGCAGGCGCTCTCTATTCCTGCTCTTTAAGCTCTTTTGTGAACACGACTTGTGTTTTCACTCATATATTGTTGTCAAATATGAGAAAAAGTGTTTCTATTTTGAGTACATCTTTGCAAATCTCGTCATCCGTTGTAAAAGAAAGTGAAACGCATTCAAAACCGCAAACAAATGATAATTACATAACTTTATTGCTTATCATTTGTATTGCTTTGAGAAAGAGATTCGCTTAAAAGCCGACAAATAATGAAATTAATCAAATAAGTAATGGACGGCTGAATCCAGAGATTTGGATAATGTTTTTCGTATTCCATGTTTGAACACGTATTGTGAAATATGTTTCAATTTTGTATTCAATTTTGTTTTATTTCGTTTACGAGATAACATCACTTTCCACGTGAAAGCAATTGAAACTTTGCAAACATCTTATAATTTCATTTATCTTTCGAGTGATCGGAAATGTTTGACTTTTATTCAGAGAATTCTCTCATAGTTTCACAAAAATATTGTGAATTACTTTTCGACAGAATTTTGAATAAAATATACTTTTGATAACAAAGTATTTCTGTTGAAAAATGTATTAAATATTGAGCGAATGCACGAAAGGGCGGACAATGAGTTCTTCTTAAATGATAACAAGTATTGAAAAACAAAACCAATTCATTGATAGCATAAAATCATAAATTTTTTCAAACTAGTTTTATTTGGAAAGTAATAATGGCTTCTCTTTACACATGAAATAAACCAACGAATGACTACTTTTATGCACTAAATCATTGAATTTTTATTATTAAAATATTTTGGACCACAAATTATGTTTTAGTTTCTTGAATTTTATCTTTTAATTAAACGACCTTTTTTAACGAACTCACAAAACCAGAAATATCCCCAAAGCAATTGTGGTTAAAAGTTGCTTTTTACTGCCAATGCATAAAGAGACTATTCAACAATTACTACATAAATATTATCTGCGTTTAATTGCTTCTCAACCCATCGAAACCACTATAAAAAGTAAACACATTATATCATACGGTTTTGAGCGACTTTTTAATTCAATGTGTACTCAAATGTGCCAAGAATTATAAGTTATGTAAAGCCAAGACATTAGTAAGTGTTTGGAAAAACAAAATATTCAAATAGAAACAAAATCGTAAATACAACTTAATAAATGCAAATAATCATTAATACGATTTGGAGGCGAATTAGTCTCAGATCTGGACGTAGAGCAGGTCTCGGTTCGCGGGTTCAGAGGAGTAGGCTTTGGATGAGTTCATGACATTCTGTTTGGTGATAATGACGGGCAGATCGACGTGCAGATTGAGTGCCGAAGGGATTTCTGCCGTCAAATGCAAGTCATAAGTGACTGAAATGATGGGACAGTCGGTCGATAATTGAATGTTGGCCGGAATGGGAACCTGCGCTCAATTAGCGTTAGTCACTGGCAGAGCACAGATAGAGAGGGCAGACCTGAAGAGTCTCGACGTTGGTCAGTCCGGGCTCTACCGGCAGAGCCTCCACTCTGACGTATTTGGTTTCCTTGATTTTGTGCTTTCCCTTCGCAGTGAATGTTTGCGTTTGTTTGAGAGTAGCTCTCGGACTGATTCTCGCCGCTGACTTGTTGGCGATGTTGCAGTTCACGGATATTAACTCGCCTTCAATTTGTGAATTGATAATTATAGACATTTTGACAATGGATTGAAAGGAAGACAAACCCGGATAATATCCATGTCTGTCAATATTGACATCAACATTAATGACACCTGATTTCTGCCATAAGAACCCAATCTTCTTTTCGCTGCTCACACCCAGCGGTAACTGAGAGACAAACGTTGAGAACATGTTTAAAAACAACATAATATATACCATTAAATTGTCGCAAACAAGAGGCGCCTCCACTTCAAACTCAGTCTTGGTTTTGTGGTTGAAAGAGAACAAAGGCTTCTCTATCTCTGCTTCGATCCAATACTTGACAGACCCGTGATATCCATCAAACGTTGAAGGAATTCCTCTATAATTATTAAATATTAATGCATTGTGTTTTTATTATTGGATTATTTGTAATCCAATTATTAGAATACATTACTCTTTGGGCAATTCATAGCAGAACGGGAACTCATGGATGCCTTTGGTTATCATTCCATTGAATGCTAATCAATAAAACAACAATTATATCAAATTGAATACAATTGAATAGAAAAGCTCATTATTCTCGGCCTATAGTTGTCTAATAGATATGCAAAGGGTGTGCAACAGATAACGAGAACTCTTGAACTGCTTTTGCATGTCATAGCTATGGCTTTGTTTCATTGAAATCGATGCGAGTTTTGAGTGATTTGTTTTTATCATTCCTCTTAACAATTATTGTTTCTTACAATCAATCAAATCTTATCGTTTCCTTTATATCGAAATATTATTCTCGAAAAGTGAAACAAACTTTCATTAGAGACATACTATTCCTGACAAAGTCGTAATCCATTTGCAGATACGGAATGGACTCATAGAACGTGCGATTTCGTCTGTGATTTCCAGATCCCTTATTCTCAGTCCACTTCACTTCAGCCAATCCTATCAATTGCATCCGAATCTGGAGACACGAGAATCAGTGGCAGTCAATTGTGACACTCATTACAAACCATCGACAACTGCAACTCGCCTTCCAAAGCGATTACACACTTTCCCATCACATTCTCTCCCAATTCAAACGTCCGTTTGTTTGAATCCAAGAGTATTTCGAAGTTTCTTAACTGAATTTTACCCATAAATCCGCAATTGTCTTCACTGTCTCGCACTTTGGTTGCTATGAGTTGTCAACAACCGAAACAACTTGTGTTTTGTGATTGCAAACACAGCTTCTGACCAACACTTCTCCAAGTATTGATCTGTTTTTTATTTATTATTAATATTAGGTTTTTGTGACAAAACTATAGCAACTGTTCTTACCATTCATGTTCAATGTCAAGACAATCAAAACAACAATCAATTGTTTTACTCTTTGTTTCGCAATTCTGTGCAATAAACTCAAAATTGAATTCATTTCTTGATTTATGCAAAGTTTTGAAATGCATTTAAGTTAAATCCAAATTTCAGAGAATGTATTAATGAATAATAAATAATATTTGTTAAATATTGAATACATTTGAAAATTGGGTTATTTTTGCAATTTTAATCTAATTTCAAAGATTTCCTCAAAATTCAGAAACAATTTCTCAAATGAAAAAATGACAATATATTGAAAACTAGTAATGAATACGAGATGTCTAATTGGATGTAATTATTCGGGTTTTTAACTTGAATAATATTGAAAACTATTTTTGAGGACTTTTTGGAAACTTGTTTATTCTTCACAATAAATGAATCTAGTTTTAAAATAATTCCCAAATATATCTCGAATGCATTAAATTAAAGGGATTTGCGAACGCAACACAATATATAGTCATTCATCAAAAGCATAATATATTGTTAGTGAATGCAATCTTTATTTCTAAATTCTTGTGGGAAAAAAACATTATTATTTCGGAGATTAATATCATTTATAATAATGAAATGGAATTAATTTCAGAATTAATACAATAAGAGTTCGGTATTAAAAAGTCTGTTCAATAAATTATAAATTTATAGCATTTTATAAAAGATAATTAAAATGTTTGCAAAAGAAGTGGTTTTTCACTTTTATTGTTTTTCACACAAATTCTTCTTCATTTTTAAATGGAAATTATTTTGACTAAATTTTGTGATTAATTATTTGCCATAAATTATCGATAAATAAAAATAAATAATTGAAAACATTGTAATAAATAACAATGCGTTGTCTTTTGTGAGATATATATGTGAACAAGTTTGCCAAAAGTGGTCGTAAACTAGTTTTCCAGCGTTTATCGCATAAAACGCCAAAAAACAGAAAATCGTAAAAACTTTTCAAAAAAGCTATTATTGAACCAAAATTATATCGATTTGCGCTTTGATTAGAGAGGGAGAGGGAGGGGGAGAGGGGAGAGATGGCAGCACTGGTGTGGATCGCATTCCTGGGAACGAGTTTTGTGAGTTTGGAAAGCGTTTGTTTGCCTCGAGTTTGGGATTAAGTATTGAATGTGTGACAGGAGTTGGAGATAATGGCCTATAGAGGCGATTGTCATTTGTGGTCAGGGATGCGATGATGGCGTGAAACGTCGCTATTTATTTTGCCCAAATTGCTTTGCATTTCTCAATCAATCAGTGGTTGTTTGCAAAGTGTTTGTTATTAAATAATACATAAATGCATTGTGTATTACATTGTATTATATATTGGTTTGGAATCCGGGAGAAGTTTCATTAGAAAATTATACATTAGTTTTATTACAAATAACCTGTAATTATGGCTAACTATCCCTCTATTGTGTTCAAAGAATCTGTAATTCAGCGCTAATGACAGCCAATAATAAGAGCCAAAAATGTCATTCAAAATAAAGATAAAAAGCCTCTCATTATAAGCACAAAACATATTGAAAACACACTATTATTAAATGTTATGTAATATTATTGAACTCCTGTTTGTTTCTGGTTTTCTCTGCTTTTATTATATTTGAAACAAGTGTTTGAATTACACAATGATTTCCAGAGTAGAGAAAATGTTTTGTTTTATTGCAAATCACAGAATGATATCAAGTTTTGCGATAAAAACCCAAAGCTGTTGAAAACAACTTTAGTTTTGTTGTGTTTTTGCGCACATATTAATTGTTTGTGTAATTATAGAGTAATTACGAGATTAATGAGACCACAAAACAGACCACGTGTTAACATTTGCATACAATTAACGGCGAATTACAACAACTTATCTAATCTTCGACTCAATAATACAATTAAACAATGAGAAAGACTTCGAGGAAAAGACACGCAAAATGATTAAAACACTCAACAGATAGAAGAGAGCATTAATATTGTTAGCCTTGATTCTGGCGACAAAAGCAAAAATATTTAAACTTTTTTGTTTAAAGCCTTGGACTCTATGCTTATTGAGAGAGAGATGAGCGAAAGTACTCTTTAAATAATAATTGTTGAGATGTGTTGAGAATGAATGCGAACTTAATATACGTTTTATTGAATTTGGTTTTGTGTTACGCTTTCGAAGAGAGCAATCAAATCAAACCCAAGATCTCGTCGATTAACGGCAATTGTGTGGAGAGCAAAGAGTGTTGGATCGGAACCGACGACAACCGCGTGTGCGTTGAGCGCAAGTGTCGCTGTAAACCCAATTACCACTTTGACTACATCAACAATCGCTGCCAATACTTCACCTGTCGTCTGGACAAAGACTGCCAAACGTACGACAGGAACCGTCGGTGCGATCCGTACGACGGCTGCCGCTGCGCCGGCGATTGGATCCAGAATGCAGTCTCCCTGAAGTGCATCGCGAAGCCCGCGATGGGAAGCATGTGTGCGGAAGACTCGGATTGTTGGACTCGAGAGGATTCGCACAGAGTTTGTGTGGAGAGGAGTTGTGTTTGCAAACTGTTTTACAAATACGACTCGTATTCCAGACAATGTTTGGCCAAAAATGTTTGCGATTCCGACAAAGACTGTCATAAATACGACAAAAACCGGATTTGCGACTCATATGGGCTCTGTGTTTGTGATTCCGGATTCGCGGCGCTCTCCATGGCTCACAAGTGCCACAAAATGAGCAAAAATGAGGCCAAAGAGGAGAACAGTGTTTTGTAGTAATAGTTGATTAATTTATTGCACAAATCATCGACTTTTATTGAATGCTTTTGTGTTTAATGTTTTAAAAGTGAACATTTAATGAATTAATGAAAGAATGTTTAATTGAAAGCAAATAAAGGTTTCTAACGAATAAAGTTTCTTTTCTTTGCGCAAAACAGCATTAAAGTCAATGCAATTAAGATTAATTGGATTAACGCCGCGATTAAACACAACAAACCAATTATACCACTTCTCAACTCGAGAAACTCGCGTAACGCCAGAGCACAACCCTTTGGAGCAAATTATGAGTGTTTTGTGTTTCATATTATTGATTATATAATAAAATAAATATTACCTTTTGATTAAGAAATTGAGTGCCTGTCAGATAACAGGAGGTGGGAATCGACATTCCGTACCTCTGATAGTCGTTGAGAGAGACGACACCACAACATCTCAACTGCGAGAGAAAGGGATTGCATTTCAGAGAATATCGAGTGATTTGCACACGTTTTGAGTATTGTTTTACTCGTAATGACAATCAAAGGTTTAAATTAATAAATTCTGTTTATGTAATGTTTGAGGAAATAGAAGTGATTATGCATTTGTGCCAAAACTGAATTCATGTCATGTTTTACAACAATGAGAATCACATGTTATTTATAGAAATATTTTTTTGATCAGAAATTCATTTCAAATCTATTGTGAAATGTTTTTTGTATAAAAATTCAATTAATGTTTATAAAAGTATTGAATGAAAGAAAATGTCGTAAAATTGGTTTTCCTCTGAATAGAGTTTATTAAAAAGGGGTGGAATTTGGAAAGCAATGAATGAATGCTTTCTCTGATAATACCTTCACTTGAAAGAAGTCGATGAAACCTCGGGCTCTGTCGTCGTACGGGTATTGTTGTAGTTCTGCGATGAGTTCTCTGAACGCGAAATTGTAGAGCTTTTAGAGAGAAATGCATTAAAAAGAGGGAAAGAGTGAAAGCGAGCGAACTTGTTGTCCGAATCCGTGGAATATTCCCAAAGTTATTGTCGCCACTTGAAGACCAAAGAGGAGCACAAGTATCGATCCGTACTGTCATGAGTTGGAATGTGTGAGAGAGCGCACAGCACATGCATAATACATACGAGAGTGAGAAGGACTGAGTGCTCGGTGAAGGCGGCGGCGCAGCCGAGGAGCCCGGCGAACATGATGACTCCCCCCACCACGATCATGATGTAGGCGGCGGTGACGATGTTGTAGGTGTCGATGTAGCGGCTGGGCTCGTACGACTTGGGGTCCACGATGAGCCATATGCCGATGCCTGTGATGACCCAAGCGCACAGCTAGCCGTGATTCATAAAGCATTAATCACATTACAGACAATAAGTGGATATTGTTGTGAATAAATAACCACTTCTTGAATAATGAATGAGAAACGAACCCACAGAACGAGGTTGAAGAAGAAAAGCAGGATTTTGGTGACTTTGGCCATTTCGCGCGCCGCACAAACGGAAACACAGGAACACAGCCGACAGACAAACACTCGCTCTATTATACTGCGCTTCTTGTCTCCCAGTTTGTCATCGCTGTCTTCAATGTGTTTTTGATCCAGTTTTCAACACTCGCCGAACACAGGCTTTCATTCATAAAAGTGAAACAATTGCTCTTTCAATGAGAGAACGCAGAGAAATGAAAGGAAAAGCTTCGCGAGACTTGTGCTCTCGACGAATGACACAGCGTTTGTCACAACAATAATTTGCATTCAGTTTTGACACAATTTTCAGGTTAATTGCAAATCGAGAATTCATGTAATGATCGCACAAATAGCTCTGCTTTTGTTGACGAGATTTTTGGCAACGTTTTCAGCATTTTTATGATCCAATAAATTATGGAAAATACAATAAATATAAATACAGAATAACAACAATATATTCTCTATTGAGAGCTTTAAACAAGTTTTGAACAAAAATAGTTTGAATTCCAACAATGCATTGATTTTTCAATTTAAAGTCAAAACGAGTCCATAAAGTGATTGCAATTATTGTAAATGTTGTAAAAAAGGCATTTCCAGCGAAACCACAGGTTTTTACGACATTTTTACGCACTCTTCGCTCAAACCCTCAGATTATCGTAAAAAAGACAACACTTTGTATGAAATGTGTTTATATTTTATTAATATTTAAGATAATAATAGCGTTTTGAATAATAAAAAGCGTTTTAAACGCCAATTCGTGCGCCAAATGTAAACAAAGCTTTGGAAATGTTTTCTCGGTTTAGGAAAGAGTTTGGAAATAATGAAAACGTGTTGAAAACAAATGCTTTTTGGGAAACACTGAAAAGCTTTCAAATCATTAGGAATTGGATGTGAAATGAAATGGATTTCATGTTTGAACGCATTTTCGCCACAAATATGTATTTCTCTGCGAATTGCCGTAAAATAGCCGACAATTGGAGAAAACAGTTCACAATTGATGTTTTGGTCACACATTGGAAACAATATTTCGCGAGTTTTCATTTCAACGCTTTTGTCGAAATGAAAAGAGAGTTCATTGAAGCAAAACTCTCTCTCAGAGAGTAATCGCCAATAAAAACAGCTTTTAGTAAATGTTTTTTAAAGTGCATTAAAAATCCATTTTTGATCTCAAAATCACAGTTTAGTCACAAAATTGACGCAATTTTAGCCGAAATTGAATTCAAAAACTATTGTTTCGCAAATAATTTAATTATTTTTTGATAAATGAACGAAAAGCGCGTCGAAGAGAGCCGTGCGAGAGATGGCGCCACTCGGGAGCGCTAATCACAGCTCATTTGCAAATGAAATGCATTTCAAAATTGAATTAATATTTATCGCAAAATATATAATTAAAGCGAAGAAATGTCAGCAAAGAGTCTCTCAAAGAGTCTCTCAATCATTGCGTTCATAATTGAGTAAATTTTGGGGAAATTTCGATAAAATATTTTATAGATTGAAACCTACGCTCGAAAACCCACACATTGTTAGCGAAAGAATGCAATAATAATAATAAATCTTCGGTTTAATTATTGTGAAAACAAAAGACGTTTTTGCGTCAAAATAATGCACAGATTTTGTCACAGCTTTTGACACAAAATGAGTTCATTTGAGTGTCGCTGTGCTGTCGGAGTGGAGAGCGGCAGAGAGAGAGCACTGGTAATGTGTTTTCAGCTCAAACGCACAAAACCCATCTTTAAATGTCATTTTGAATATTTTTGTCGACAAATAAAAGGGAATAAAAGTTTTTTGAGTTTTGCTCTCATTATGAGTGAGTTTTTGAATACACAATCAAAATCCCCTAAGAATTAGGATTTTAATGCAATTTCTATTTCATTCGTCGATTCTATTGATGTTTACATTAGAGACAGATTTAACATTGATTTTAAACAGAAATACCATTTCAGGCGAATTCAGATTCATATTTTTAACTCAGACTCCGTTTCTTGAAATTGATTCTCGCGAGAAATGCTTGCCATTAGATCTGAAATTAAAGTTTTTTACAACAATTTAAGAATTTTTGTTTCGAATATCGTTTTATTATTCAAACCTATAATCGTTTATACAATCGTTTGTAATCTTGAGACAAAACTTACAAATTATTCAACATTTATTAACAATTGTTGTCAAAGAGATAATTATTACCGTAAATAATAATAATATAAACCTATTTATACAATAAAACAAATATATGTGAATTGTGAACAAAATTGAGCCAATATTTAATGTTAAGAGAGGTAAAGAATGGCTGAGATTTACACATGAAATGCTTGTGTCTTCCCTTTGATCGAACGTATGGCACAATATATGAGAGGTTTTATATAAATATTCCCCAAATGACAGAAACAAACATTTTGGTCATTATTTTGAACTAAATATCTGATAAAAAGTATATAAAAGTTGTCCTCAAAGCCCGTAAATAACAATAACTGTAACTTTTGGCCAGAAATTCACCGAATATTACTTAAATGCAGACTAGAAATAGATCTGTGTTTAAGAAATGCAGAAATCGATAATTACTTTTCTCTGACTAGAGATTAAACGAGAGAATTGTTGAAACATTATTGCGATTATTTCGAGAGATTTCTATAGAAATGATAAGTTTTTATGAATATTAGTCTTTGTGTGAGAATGAATGAGATTTCTCTGTTTCTCTGTTTCCACGTCACGCGCAGAGCCTAATTGGCCGACAGCTGCTCCATCGGGTCCAAGCAGTCCTCGGTCTTCGGGCTCAGACAGTAGTCGCGCGGCGTCGACGGCGGCGACGACTTGTCGTCGATGGAGAAGGAGGAGGAGGGCGAGCGGCTCTGGTAGTCGTCGTTGCCGTCGCTCGAGGACGGGAAGAGCGGCAACCCGTTGGTCGCCGACGAGCCGTCCAGAGCGTCGAACGCGGAGCCGCTGTGGAACCTGTGTTCGAGTTATCGTTAATCGCGAAACATTAACTTTGATTGAAAATCTTTTTTTTGCAATAATTTGTCTAATTTTGCGTTTGAGTGTTTGTGCAGTGATTTCTCGCGCATTTGTTTTCTTATTTGTTCGTTATCTCAAAAATTCTCAGTCATTAAGTCATAAAAGTTTTTCCAATTTTGGATAAATAACAAAAATATTAATAAGCTTTTTAATGGCATTAATGCGCGCATCAATAATGCCATTACAGCGACGGTTAATAATCCCAAAACTATAGCACTTGCCTTCGCTGGCGCATCAGTTGCTTGTATTCGCTGATCCGCAGCTTCTTGCCGTCCACAATGCACGTGCGTTTGGGGCGCGGCCGGTACCGGTAGTCGGGGTGTTTCTCCATGTGCACTTTGGACAGCCGCGACTGCTCCTCGTAGTAGGGCTGCTTCTCCGAGTTGGTCATGGCCTTCCAGCGCGCGCCCAAGATCTTGGAGATGTTGGAGTTGTGCATGTCGGGACACGCCTTCAGGATCTTGCGGCGCTCGTCCTTCGCCCAAACCATGAACGCGTTCATCGGGCGCTTCACGTGCGGTTTGCCGTCCTGGTCGCGCTTCTGCTGCCGAATGATCTTCGCGCCCAGCATTTTGTCTGCGAAAACACACCAAAAATTAATGCTTTTTCGCAAACATTTCAGACATTCAGAGCTCAGAAGCGATAAAATCTCGATTCTTATCTCTATTCCCATCTCTAATCCCAAACGCAAGACAACAATGCGCGCTATAAAGGCATTATAAAGCGGCCTTACTTTGACACGTGACGATCGTCTCCGAGTGGTTGTTGTCCTGAGGCTGCGACTCGTGTCTGAGTCTGAGCTGCTGCTCGTGCTGTTGCTGCTGCTGGTGGTGGTGCTGCAACTGGTGCTGCGACGACGAGATGGTAGACGTGGGCGTCAGTTTCGACAGGTCGGGCAGAAGCGAGACGAAGGGGTTGAAGGGCTTGTCCAGCGATTGTTGCATCTCGTGCCCCATGTGCCCGCGGAAGCCCATTCCCAGCGCGTTATAGGCGTGGAAGTACTGCGACGACGACGGCAGGCCGGGGCTGTTGGCCGCGAAGAAGGGCGGCGGCGGCTGCTGGAGCTGCGCTGAGATCATGTTTGGCGGCGAATGGGAGGAGAATTGGCTGCGAAAGTGCTGTCCGTTGAGAGACTGCGTTTGGTTGACTTGAGGTGACTTGGATTTGGTCAGGTTGAGCGGCTGCGAGTCGCGCTTCGGCCCCTTCATCGAGAGGTCGGCCGCGCACTCCTTGTGTGACTTGTGTTCGGGTTTGGGAGCGATTGTTGTCTGCATTGGAGGTGATTTGTTGGCGTCGAAGGCCGCGCGCGCCTTCAGCTGCGTCGTGTCCATGAAGGGCGAGAAGAGAGCTGATCCCAAGAAGTTGGGCATGATCTTGGACATGTATTGAGCGCTGAGTTGTGCCTAAAGTGGTGAACATTGAGACATTGTGTGCATTAATGTGTGTTTTGTTTTTTCGCAGATTTAGAGAACGCTCTCAAAACAACGCGAATTAAGAGCCATTAAGCGCTCGGAAAGCAAACAATACCTGGAGCTGTTGGATGCGCTGCTGTTGTTGCGCCAATTGTTCCTGTTGGCGCTCTATCTGTTCCGTTTGGTGTCTTTGCAACTCAACCGTCAACTCATTCGTCGAAGAGTTTTCTAATTTGGTCTTTGGAGAAACAAATGTCACTTTTTTGGCACTAATTTATTGCAAACAACGACAGCGCGAAACCCATTATTGATCTTAGTTTAAATTTAGAACATTTATTCGCAATAATGTAACAAAAAGTGAAACAAAAAGCAGTCAATAATAGCCGTTATTTCGCTCTCTCTGACACATGCATCGGTCTGCGACCCATTTAGCACAGTTAGAGAAGGAATGCGTTCCCATTTGTCTTAAGGGTTCAAGTGTCGCCAAAGACAAAGACTGGAAACGGTTTCTCACTTGCTTTGGGTGAAAGCGGACACCAGAAGCGAGAGAGAGAGAAGAGTTTTGTTCACATCTGTTTGTCTCGAGTGTGAGAATGGCTTCGAAACAAGTGTTTCTCAGAATCCCAACTATTTCTCTGTTCTCGTGAATAATTAGAGTTTTTTCAACGCAAAGATTGAGTGCTTTCTCGAGATTGTCATTAATAATTGGGAATTGATGTTCAGAACTGGGATTTGAGTGTCGGAAGCGCAGATGACCATTGAGAGTGACCGCAATGACCAGTGAGCGAATGATTAACTCAATTATTATCGCGTGCATAAATCACACAACAGTTGATGTAATCTTTTGATCGAACATCGGATCAATCATAGGGGGGAGTGTGGGGGGGGGCAGCAGTGCACACACTGGAAGGCAGAGCGTGAACAATAATTGAGTGGTGATTATGGCCCCGAACAATGCCAATAAATAATGCACGCGCGGCGATGACTACACATTGGGAAACATGATCTCTTATGAAACTTTTTATTAGTTTTGTGAATGACGCGCGCTCTCAATGGGATCGCAATAAAGTCACTCCAAATGTCTATTAATCTCTCGCGATGTTCCAAATTGTTGCATATTTCTGGGATTCCGGAACAATATTCGAGAGCGAGAGATAAGAAATATTAATTTCATATTTCTTTTTATAGAACAATGCCTTCTTATGCGATCATTGGTGGCTTCAGACGCGACGCCCACAACAATGCCATCTCATGCGCAACCTTTTGTTGCCAACAATGCCAACGCATTGTTCGCCTATAGTGAGTGTTAATTGTGATGCGATTGTTGCTCAGATCGCGCTCTCTGTTTATTTGTCGATCTTTTGTCGGCTTCGAACGCATTAATCATTGATCGCGTCATCTTTGCCAACAATATATGAGCGCTCGCGAGGGAATTGTCTCAACATTGCATTAAATAACACAAAATCTGGTTTTAATTCACAAAAAGAAAAGTTCATTCACTTTTGAGAGAAGTTTTGTCCGAATATTGAATTTTATTCAAAGAAATTCAATCCAAAAACTTATCTCTCTTTCTCTCTCTCTTTGCTGTTCTTTATCATCATTTTTTGTCTCGAAAAAGACCACATTTTGTGCACAAAAAGTGCTTTTCGTCCAAAACTTAATGTGTTTTTCATGTCATAAAAAGAGAGAGATATGAGAAGCGCTTCTCTCTCTGGAGAGAGCGAGACATCGTCTCAAGAACGCCAACAATACTCTCACAGCGCGAGAGAAGTGTATTAATATAATTCGTCGAGTTTTGAATATTTAGAAGCAAACCAACAATACTCTCTCCGCTCGCTCTCTCTCTGGAGATCATTAGTTGTTGGCAGCACTCAATTTGTGCGGTCATAAGTAATGTGCGCGCATTCGCTAAATATAGCGCAACAGAAAACATATAAAATTAATGTCTTATTATTGCTTCTCTCGCTCTCTGTAACAATACTTGTGATTTATAGTGTTTTTTGCGTTAAAATCTAATTGAAACACACATTAAGCGAGGAATGAGCGCTCAGTTCACGAGATTGTTGTCTCAATTAGAAAGAGTTGAGCGAAAGCCAAGAGACAATAACGTTGTCTATTATTTCGCGCGACAACAATACAATGGAAACTGACCTCATGTTGTTTGAGAAGAAGGTTTTCCCGCAATTGCGACAACTGTTCGATCATTTCGTTCAGTTTGCGCTCCGTTTGGTTCGCGACCGCCGGATCGCCGTCCATCTCGTCCGCCATCACCGCGTTGTTCCTCTTGAGGCGCGACAGCACTTCGTCGATGGAGCGCTTGTTCTTCTCCTTCTGCTCGGAGGACGAGGCGCTGTCGGAGTCGCTCTCGGAGTGGCCGTTGGCGTCGCGGTTGTCGTCGCTCGCGCTCTCCTCTTCCATCTCGTCGTCGATTTTGATTTTGTTGGGAAAAGACTTTCTTTTTGCAGACATTTTCTGAAATTCAAATCAAATCCAAAGTCAATCGGAGTGTGAATGAGAAATGATTGTTTTGAGCGCTCTCTCAGTATTGTTCGCAATTAAGGCACGAATCCATCATTTTTGGTGTCGTTTTGGAACACATTTCGCGAGCAATCGATCGAAAGAATCGAATGATTGTTAGCGCGAGAGAGAAATGATTATTGAATAATGCATTTAATTAAGAATGAAATCAATAATGAAAATAATCGCACTTTTTATCGCAATTCGCGCGAACTTTGTTCCGAAATGTTTATTCAACTGTTTTTCTTGACATCCGTTGCAATAATCAGAACTCTGTTTCTCTTCTTATCGAAAAGAAAGTCTTTTTTCTGACAAAACATTTTTCATTACAAATTTATTTCTCCAAAAATACCCCCAATTGTGAGCATTAATGGCCAGAAAGGCCTCGAGAGGCAAGAATGCAATTAATTGCGATTTCTCTCTCTTTTCTCAACATTCGATTCATTCGTGATTTACATGTGTTTTCGAAATTCGAAACAAAACCCAAAAAACATCTGTTTTTCGCCTATAAGTCGCGAGAGAAGCGCCTCAACAATAGGCGACAGCGGAACAGGTGTCGCGAGAGAGAGAGAGAGAGAGGAAAGAGTTTCTCAGAGAGAATAAGATTGAGAATAAGAACAAAATCTCGCGATTTCTCGCTTTAATGAAACGAAACAATAATAATTCTGATCGCGAGCTGTGTTTTAATTGTTGAGCACATATTGGCGCACATCTGGTCTCGCGATCGCATTTATTGTTTCGTTTAATGAGTTTTGTTTCGAAATAATTCCAAAAATGAAATCTCTTTCGAAAGAAATGTTCGAAAATTGGGAGAAAAGAGAGAAAAGCGAAGAAAAGCAGAAATGTTTGGAAAACAATGAAAACAACTCACGATTATTTGTCTTCCGATTTCTCGCGTGAAAAACAATCACTTCTGGCGTAAAGACGACTCACTTGTGACTCAACAATGTGTGTCTCTCTCTCTCTCGCTCTCAACAATCAACGCCTCGAATCGCGTCGACAATGAGAAGCGAACCAATGAGAAAAGTTGTCGATTGTTGCGAACTTCACGCACTCGCAGACAATCGCAAGACAACAATCACAGCGTCTCGCGAGGAGTTGTCTTAAGATGGGAACCGGAGAGACGACTCTTCGCGAGCATTGTTGTGTCACGTGACACTCCAAGCACTGCAGCACCATCGCAGCACCCTGCTCATCATAGAGAAGTATAAGAAAAATAAATCATATTTTCTGTCTTTTCGCAAGAATTCCTATTATGTGAACGCCGGGGGGTCTCAGGGGGGAAGGCAGTGGAATCGCGCGCAGAATTGATAACAGATATTATTTAAAGCGTTTAAGAGTCGTTTCGCGTGACAACAACCGAATGCAGAAGAAATTCCTTCGAATATTGTTTCCCACTTTAATGAGTGCTTTGGAGAGCGCGACAACAATTCACTGCTTTCGGCTCTGAATCGAAACTCGTTTCATAACCTGTTGTTCAACAATGCGTTCGATTCTCGCGATAATTGCAGAAACGCTAAACGATTGGCGTTAAAGTCATTCCTCTCGCGAGACAACAATCGACGCGACTTCTCGTGATTCTGCGATCGCCGCGAGTGTCGTCACGTGACAGTCGAGGAGAACAATCGCCGCATCGCGAGAGCAATGACTGAAACAAAAGAATTTGCATTTAATTGCAATTTAGACAAGAATTCAATAATTATTGTTTCGATCGTCGCCTCGAGACGCGCCTCCAGCCAAGCATTGTTTCCACTTCAAGGCCAGGCAGAGCACAGGTCACGGGAGAGCACGTGACGCGAGAGAACCGAGTCTCGGATTAAGAGAGGATTAAATGACAGAAAGATTAAAATCTCTTGTTTTTTGGGGAAAAAGTTTTTTTTCGCGATTTTTGTGAAATTTAATCCGATTTTCGTGAAAGCGTTTCGTTATTGAAAGCCGTGACGCCATCTGTCGGCCGATTCGCGAACCAATGATTCAAATTAATGGCCATAAATAACGTCAACATTTGTTTCGGATTTTAATTGCGATAAAAATGAGTTTTATTTCACAAACACTTGAATTCCAATTAATTTCTGCAAAGAATAAACATTTGTTTCGAAAACAGTAAAAATTTCTGCAAAATAATAATTGTTTCGAATTTTATTCCAAAACAAGTGTTTCTTTGGATTTGCGTTTTTATTGTTTCTCATTTCCTAATCTGCGAACAAATCGTTGTTCTCTTTTCGCGAATAAATGCGCGCAAAATGTCTGCAAAATATTCGCATAAATTGTACGCATATTTCGCCAAAACTAGAGAACAACTGATTTCGGGTCAAAATGTGTCCAAAAGTCGGGAATAATTTCCCGAAATATGAATTCAATAAAAATAAAAGAAAAAACTAAAACGAAAATAAAGTTTTCGTAAAATTTGAATAAAAGTACTGAAAAATGAAAAATATTAAACTTTTACGGATTTTAAACTTAAAAATGTTTTAATTGTTGTCTAAAATTCGAATGAATCGTCAAAACAACGGTTTCTTAGCAACGAATGAATGACTTGAAGAAAAATAGATATTTTGTGACGATTTTCGCGATTTCTTGAATCAAAAGAAAATTATTTTTCTTTAAACATAAAAATGAGAAAAAGTCTTGAGTTTTGAAATGAATCCAAAATTCGAAAACATTTTGTGATTTCTTAGAATTAAACTTTCGTTAAAACAGACAATGAATTGGTTTTTCATATTTTTACTCTAATTTAACTAAAATCTAATTTCGTTGAAATGGAAATGAATTAAAAATGGTGTAAATATTTGGAATAAAATTCGAATTCGAGTCAAATCTCAGGTTTTGTTCGCAAAACATTGTCTCGCGATTTGCGGAACATTTGGCGCCATCTTTGGTGAGAATCTGGAAAACAATGTTTTGATTCTTATTTTCGTCACAAAATATAAACGAATCGATAATTGAGTGAAAAATGTCGCAAAACTCGGAGGAAAACACGCGAAGAGGCGGCCTTTCCGTCGCGGTCCAGCATTTGGCGCAGAACCGGACGGAAGCCGCGCTTCTGTTGACGCGGTTGACGACAATAGCGTTGACTGCGCTCTATTTGGTGCCCCTCTCGCCGCTCCCGCTCTCCTCCGTCTACCAGAAGGCGCTGTTGGCGTCGGCCGCCACTTCCGCGCTCCGCCTCCACCAGCGACTGCCGCCCTTCCGTCTGTCGCGCGAATTCCTCGCGCTCCTCATCGCCGAGGACTCCGCCCACTATCTCCTCTTCGCCGTCATCTTCGCCGCCAACAACGTGCTCTCTCTCGCGCTGCTTCCGGTCGCGCTCTTCGCGTTCCTCCACTTCTCCTCTCAAACGCTCGCTCTCATCGACAGAAGCGGACCGAGAGGTGAGTGTCGTCTCTTTGCGTCGTCTCTAACACTCTCTCTCTCTCTCTGCAGGTGTCGTCGGGAACGCGCTGTCGACTGTCGTCGAGTCGTACCAGCGCTCCATTCTGCAGACCGTGTCTTTGGCGGAGATCGCGCTGATGCCGACTCTGGTGTTCGCGCTGCTCTCTGGCATGACGTCACTCATCGCGCCCTTCATTTACTACCGCTTTCTCGCGTTGAGGTATTCCTCGCGCAGAAACCCGTATTCGCGGCAAATGTTCCGCGAGTTAAAAGTCTCGCTCCAAACAATGGTTTTGCGCGCCTTCTGTCCGCAACTCGTGCGCAACGCTGTGAACGCCGCGATTGGACTCGTCGAGCGTCTCGCGCCTCCAATCCTCACCTGAACTCCACTTTTCACTCAGAGTTCAACGAACTCTCAATAAATGTTTTATTAAAAGCTGTTTTCAATTCATTCCGAAATGAAGTCTCGATTCGAATATTTCGTTCTTTTTTTCGCTCTTTTCTCCGAAATCTGCGCCAAAACAGCGCCGAAGCGACCCCTGGCGCTGTTGGGGAAGAAACGGCCGACGATTCCGCGCATTGTGGGCGGCGAGAACGCGCGTAGATTGGAGTTCCCGTGGATGGCCAGTCTGCGCTTCCAGGAGCAGCACTTCTGCGCCGCCGTCCTCGTGCGCCCGCAATGGCTGCTCACTGCCGCGCACTGTGTGGACGAGTCTTCGCCCAAACCCTTCCAGGCGGTGGTGGGCGCGCACCACCTGTCGCGCCGCGAGCCCGAGGAACAGCGCGTGGAAGTGCTCCGAGTGATAGTTCACCCGAAATGGAACTCTTCGGCCATTTCCGACGACTTGGCGCTCGTGCAGTTGGCGCGTGACGTCACGATGGGCAACGTGAGCGCCATCGCCGTTCCGCGCGATTCGCAACAATTGGCGCCGCATTGGCAGTGCGTGGCTTCCGGTTGGGGATTGACCGCCGCTTCCGGTAACGAAAGCTCTCTCTCTGTTAACGCTAACACTCTCTCTCTTAGGCGACAAAGTGTCTGATTTGCCGCAGAAAGTGCTTCTGCCGTTGTTGTCTCAATTGGAGTGCGCGCGCCTCTACGGCCAGAAAGCGCGCATTTCGCCGAAGCAGTTGTGCGCGGGCGGCGAAGAGGGGCGCGGCATCTGCAACGGCGACTCCGGCGGACCGCTGCAGTGCTGGACGGGCGCCGAGTGGGTGTTGGCGGGCCTGGACTCGTTCACGGTGCCGTGCGCGCTGAAGGGCTTCCCCAGCGTGTTCACGCGCGTCTCCAAGTACAGCGACTTCATTGCGCGCGAGATTTGAATACTTTTCGAAAATGTGTTTATTTCGCAATAAAAACTCGACGAAATGGTTGATCGACGTAATTGATGTGAGGGAGGCCTCGCGCGCGTCCGACCAAAGCAGGTTCGGCCCGAACACGATGGCCAGGTTCGAGGCCGTCATCTTGTTCAGGTCCGAGCGGTCCATCACGTGACCCAAGAACTCCACGATGAAGGCGAGCAGTTGGTGGTTGTCTGGGGGGAGGCGCTGACACACGAGGGAGCGCGCGACCGCCACTTTCTCCGCCTTCGTGGTGATGGCCTGGAAGTCGATGACGTCATCGTAGAGGTCGAACGACAGCAGCGGTTCCTCCAGCTCGCGCAGGAAGGACTTGAGGAGCGCGGCCGCCACGTGCACGCCGCTGTCCTCGTCGGCGAACGCCTCGAAGTCCACCTCAAGGCCGGCGTTGAAGCGCGTCTGCAGCTCCCGCACTGTCGAGGCGTTGGCCGAGCGGCGGAACAGTCCCTCCGTCTGCAGCGCGCGCTCGTTGTCGAGGAAGGCGACGCACGTGCGCACGACGCGCGGAATGGCGTCCATCGCGTTGTTGGCCTTCAGACTGAGAAAGAGTTAGTTTTGGTTTTCGCGCGCTTTTCTTTCTGTTCTCACAATTGGAGCGAAACTCGGAATTGCTGTGTGTTTGGGATCTGCGCGCCGAGTGTTTGGGCGGCGGCGCTCTGCCGACTGCGTTTGGCCACTTTGCGGTCGTGGCTGCGGAGAGAACACAGAGTTAGGACACACAGTGAGCACACGATCGTTACTTTACTCCAAGAGTTGTTTCGGAAGAAAGAGTTGTTTGAAGTGAAGAAATGCTTGCAATTCCTCCAAATGCGAGATGTAGTGGATTTTGCGGCCGAACTTCGCGCTGACAATAGAGAGTGTTAGCAACGGAACGCAACACACGCACACTCACCTGATGACGGGGCGGAACACGTTGAAGAGGAGGCGCACGAAAGAGGTCGGGTGCACGAGGAGCAGCGCCTTCAGGTTCTTCTTGTACTTGCGGTCGAAGGCGCGGAACGCCGTCCACAGCCACCGAATGGACGGCTTGTTGCGGGAGTGGAGGCCGAAGTGGAAGTACACCAGAGTGTAGTCGCTCTCCACGAACGTGTCCAACGTGTGGAGGAGATATCGCAGGAAG